CACTAGAGAAGATAGACAGATGGGAAATAAGCATAGGAAAGGGGTCCCATGTCATATGTCATCAGGGGAATGCAAAGCAAAGCAACAATGAGATACGACTACACACTCATTAGAATGGCCCAAATCTGGAACACTGACAATATGAAATCTTAGTGAGGATGTGAACAACGGGAACGTTCATACATTGCTGGTGAGAATGCAAAACTCTACAGCTACTTTGCAAGACAGTTCAGCAGTTTCTTACAAAATTCAACATACTTTTTTTTTTTTAAGGATTTTTATTTATTTATTCATGAGAGAGAGGCAGAGACACAGGCAGAGGGAGAAGCAGGCTCCATGCAGGGAGCCCGACGCGGGACTCGATCCCGGGTCTCCAGGATCACGTCCTGGGCTGAAGGCAGCACTAAACTGCTGAGCCCCCCAGGCTGCCCTCCACATACTCTTATTGTAAGATCCAGCAGTCATGCTCCTTGGTATTTACCCAGACCTGACAACTTACATCCACACAAAACCTCTATGTGGATGTTTATAACAACTTGACTCATTGCCACAACTTGGAGGCAACCAAGCTATCCTTTGGTAGGTAAAGGGATAAATACACCATGTGGCACATCCATACAATGAAATAATATTATTCTGTGATAAGAACAAAAACAGACATAAAACGATATGGAGGACACTTAAAAGCAAATAATTAAGTGAAAGAAACCAATCCGGAAAGGCCACGTGTACTGTGTGAGTCCAACCACATGACATCCTGGAAATGGCAAAATTATGGAAGCAATAAAAAGGTTAGTGGTTGCCAGGGGTTGGAGGAGGGAAAGATGAAGATGCAGAGCGCAGGGGATTCGTGGCAGTAAACTATTCTGTGTGACATCATAGCGATGGGTACCTGCCATCACACATTTGTCAAAGCTCGTGGAATGTACACGGCCAAGAGCAGACCCTGATGTGGATGGACCGTGACTTCAGGTGGTTATGACGTCTTAACAGGTTCACCCATCCTAAAAAAATTACACTAACTACTACTGTGCTGCAGATGTGGATGGCGGGGAGGTTGTGTTTGGGTGAACGGGGAATATATGGGAACGCTCTGTACTTTCCACTCAATTTTGCTGTGAACCTAGAACTGCTCTAAAAAATAAAGTGCATTCAAAGAAATTCCTGCCATTTGGTGAAAGCTAAACACTGTTGGAAAAGCACGGAACCTGACAAGAGGCTTATGGTGGGTGGCCCTGGGTGATGACGGAGGGAAGCCCAGAGGAACCCCAAGCAAAGCTGCGCCCCAGAGAGCATGGGAGGAAGCGTCTCAGGCCCACACTGGTGCAGAACCACATGGAATGGGCGCAGAGGCAAGATCAAGCATACAGGGGCTTTCTGCTCCCCTCATATCATCCTGAAGCTTCATGTGGCTAAAAGCTGAGCCCCCGAGGGATGATGTCCCTGTCGTAGGATACGTTTGCAACAACGTAGGGATGCAAATGGGAAATTCAGTGAAAATAGAGAATCCATGCCCAAAGATGACAGCAAAGAAGGTTCAAGATGATTGAGAGACAATCAATCGGTCAATTCTCAGTATTTAAACTCCAGTGATCTTGAGAAAGAAAGGGTAAAGTTCTATTTGATCAAAATGAGCATCTAATAAACTCTGGCCCCACCTTGGCATTAGTTCTGGAAATAAAGAAACTGAGGCTGAGTTAGTTTCAGACTACAGATCTCATAAGTGGCAGCAGGGCTTCAACCTCCGTGTGAACTGCAAATCCCTCCCGTCACTGTGCCCCGCCTCACCCCAACCCACACCTCTTACTGGAAACCGAGGGAACTTGCTGACCCCAAAGAGTGCGGTGGCTGGATCTCTGCCTAGAGTTTCGAGGTCAGACTCGCCTGACTGTCCACTGCCCCAGGGCCAGAGGCTGCTTCCTAAGAAGAGGTGCTGGAGTGGAAACCGAGGACCCCTGATGGGGCCGTTAGCATCACTGGAAAATGGTGGTGGGAAGGCAGCCCATGGATATGCTGTGCTTCTGGGCTTTTCCTATCCTGCCATCTGAAGATGTCTTCATGAAGGGAGATGTGAACGATCAAGCACCCTCATCGCATTTTCTCCCAACTAACTTGTGCAGATGTTTCTCAGTGGTTCTCAGCCCCAAGGGCGGACCTGTCTCCTAGAGGGGTTTTTAGAGTGTGGGTGCCCAGCTTGCTCCCCCTCATCTGGAGATCCTCATACCTGGCTCACTTAAAACGGTCAGGCTTCCCCCACGTCACAGCAATGCCTTGCTGGGGACACTGGCGGGCCCGACACATCCATAGAGCAGTTTGAAGCCCGACGAGCTGGTTGCTGCAGTGTGAGCACATGTGTGAGTGTGTGTAAGACACTCACTGTCAAAGGAGAAAGAGCCCGACTAGGGCCCATGTGCTGGGAAGCCAGTGATTCTACTGCTAACTTAAAAAAAACTGAAGCTTATTCCCATACTGGAAACTTCCCCGTTTTTGATGGAAACTTGTATTGATTTAAACACAGTAGAGCAAACACCACTTAACTTTGTAAGTCCTCTTGGAACACTGTGAGGCCTCGGTGAGCTGAAACATGGGCTGTCTGCCTCTACACCGGGGGGCACCCTGACGTCCTTGCTCGTTATGCGTCGTCTTCTCGTTTGGCCAGCGTCCACCAGCCGCTTTCCAATGTTGAGGCTTCTAAGTTGTGGTTAAGTGGAAAAACAGTTGCCCAACTCCTCAGAAATGTGTGTCACGGAGCACCCAAAAGCTCCCAGCAAGAGGTGCTTCCTAAAGACGCCAGCATAAGCTGTTGGGATGTTGCCGGGCCCACGCATCTACTTGGATGCGGGCCCGGTGCTTGTGGATGCGTTCCCGACAGTGAGGCTGCAGCCGAGACCCCCAGAAGAAGGAGCTTCCATCTAGCATCAACTCACATCACTTCCACCACATAAGCACCAACAGCTTCGAACAGGCCCAAAGAGCCTGAGCTTGCTAAGTAGCCACCATCAGATGGCTGAGCCGCGCGAGGTTTATTTCAGGATGGCAGGCACGCAGAAAGAATTAAGCTCAGCCCCATTAAGACTTCTTTAAAGTTTCTATTAACCAACCACAGGACCCCAGGAAAATGATAAAATAATAAAGCTTTGACCCAACATTTTTATATTCCATTTTTAGTGAAGGGAATAAAAAGCTTCTTTTTCTTAAGAAAGGAGTTTATTAAAGGGCACAAGAGAATAATGTTTTTAAAAAGTGTCCTCTAGATTTTTTTTTTCCCTTTCCCTTTGATTTCGACCGGAGGAGGGCCATTGTTGCAGCCACAACCTATTTTGACAGAGACAAAGGTTTACAGGGCAAGCTGCCCCCCACCCGTGGATCACGCCTGCTGCTCCCTCCCAGACCAGGAGCTGTGCAGGTGTGCGGCAAGGCACAGATTCACACTGAAAAGGGAAACTTCCCTAACAATGGGTAACGGTGACTGAGCACGTACAGCACACACGTCAAGTACCCACGCTAAGAGCACTCAGAGAGTTCGCTACCTGTTCCTGGGGACGGCCAGGGAGGTACGTGCAGGTGTCATCCTCCATCTGATGTGAGAGAACTGAGCTTGCTCAAGGCCGAGAGGTGGGTAAGTGGCTTTTAGGGATCCTAAGCTCTTCCACCAGATTTGGACAGACTGCAAAGAATAATGGAGATTCATACGTTCTCACCAAAAGGATGTCAACATCACATTGTTAGGTGAAAAGAGAACATTTCTATAAACTGAAGAGTGCATTTGAAAACATCATCGGCCTCCTTTCTACTCCTCTAACGCTGCTACACAGCGTGATCCAGGCTCCACCCAGCAGCATGGCCATTCCCAGGAGGTAGTTGGGAACGCAGAGGCTCCGGCCCCAACCCAGCCCTCCTGAGTCAGAATCTGTCCATAGCCAGGTATTCTGCATGCTCACTAAAGCTTGAGAACATCATTCCCTTCTCTGGGAACTAGCCCCCCCTTTCACCCCCCGCACTTGCCTTTAATGCTCTCCCCCACGATTTACCTGCCTTATTTCTTAACTCTGCTCAGCGTCCTCTGAGAGGTCTTCCCTGGCCTCTATGTGAAAAGCAGTAATTCTCTTTTGCCCTCTTATCAGCTTACCCTGTCTAATCTTACTTCAGAGCAACTGTCACTCCTGAAAACAGTGTGTACCTCCCCGACACTGCAAACTCCATCCACGCTAGGGCTTCACAGCCTCAGCACCTAAGGCAGTGGCCGGCATAGAAGCACGTTCAATAGTTTCATGAGAACTACTTTCTGTGCAGGACTATACATCCTACGTGTGTCACACACACAGTGGGGGTCTCTGAAAAACTAAAGAAAGCCCCTTTCACTCTTCCATGCTTTTTGTAAGTTTTCAAAGGACGATGCACACTATTTTCCTAATTTATGAAGCACTTTTCAAATAATTTATTCAACCATCTCAAGGTAGATCCCACCACTAACACAAAGCAGATTACATCTTCCCTTTTATTTTTTTATTTTTAAAGATTTTATTTCTTCATAAGAGACACAGAGAGAGAGGCAGAGACACAGGCAGAGGGAGAAGCAGGCTCTCTGTAGGGAGCCTGACACAGCATTCGATCCTAGGACCCCAGGATCATGCCCTGAGCCGAAGGCAGACACTCAAAATGCTGAGCTACCCAGGTGTCCCTACATCTTTCCTTTTAAAAGGGTTTTAGGCTTTATTAACTTATCAGATTATACTGTAATAAATAAGAAATCATTTCCTTTTAAGGGCCTGTTCATTTCCTCCCAGAAATGCTACTATGCTATGCAAAGAATTTTATTTTTGAAATTCAGACATTACAACTACATTGTGGGGGACCATGCATCTTCCCCACTGGCAGGTCCAGAAGTGACCTGCCTGATTCTGGAAGTGGCCCAGACCCCTGTGCTTGGTTTGGAATGACAACCATGAGCGGCACACAGATTGCGCAGGTTCGAATGGAGCCCACAAAAGAAAACAATCTTTCCTGATGAATCATTTATTTGGACAAGACAAAAATGTCTCCACATTGTCTCCTTTTATACAGAAAGTGGAACATTTCAAATATATTAGGTTTCTTCTTTTTCAACAGAATTCATTTCAATCTGGTCCCAGGAACTTCTTCTTTTTTTAGGATTCACGTTTTAGTAACACATATGCACCCATTACAGCCAAAAGAGCATACTGTAAAGAAAACACAGTGGGAAATTACTGTGAGCTCTACAAATAAGTCTGGTCTATAAATGTATTCAGATGAAGTCTGCTCAGTACTAGACTGAGGACAGAATCAAAAGATGCCCTCTTCCCCCATGCCTGCCTGGTTCTCCAAACTAGCTATTCGATGCCCCCCAGATATAATGACTAAGGATCAAGCACCCAACAAACACAGCTAATTCATTGCTCCTTCTTGCGTAGGTTTTCTATTGTTTTTCAAGTGGTTTTTCAAAAATATAAATACCATTTTTATTAAGGTTCAGAGATACTCATTACTGGGTTTATTGTACTACTTTTTTTTTTGATGTGTAAAGGTTTCCATGATAAAAAGTAATAAAGAGGTGCCATTTTAGAATACATTATGAACACAAAAGATGGAAGTAGCTCTTTTATATAACTAACTTAGTTGTCGATAATTTAGTTATGTTAATTTGTGGTTAAATACAAATATTCTCCAGAAAAACAAACCCGCAAAACATTTTAAACAGACTGCATCTTTACAATTGCATGTGCAAAAGCTCCAAAATATATATATATATATATATATATATATATATATACACACACATACATATGTATACACACACACACACACATATTTTTAATTCAGACATACACATATATTCCTACCTTGAATTTTGGATAGTCGTTCATTATTATGGTAACCATACCAACATATGGTAAAAACCTAAATTGGGATGAAAAGCCAGAAATATAAAAATTGTTTATAGTATGATGATAATAACATTTAAAAATACTCTCTATCAGCCTGGTGACACAAATCTTCCTTGGGAGTAGCAATGATTGGGGCTATACAGCTGACATTCACCCCTGTCTCAAAAGGCTTTATTAATCAAAAGCATCACAACTAACAGCAGGATGATTTTTAAGCAGGCACATGATTTCAACTAGTGATGCTGCTCATCTTCCCTCGCTATATTCACCATAACAGAATTAAAATAATTAGTTGAGCCAGTTGTACAAATGGAATTGACAACTGTCATCAAGCTAGTTTTTAATTCTTTTAGTGGAGAAGTCCCATCCAGACAGCCTCTATAAAGACGGCTGTTAGAGCTTTCAAAGTACATGGAGAATTAGTTTGTAACTGGAAGAACCATCATCATTTACATTTCACAGGGCTTTTCAGATGTAACAAACACACATTTGGGGCAGTGAACACAGATGTGAATCCCACATTTATACCTGCACATGATTATGATCGTAGACATTGGGGGCTAAGCGAGCCAATGATTCTGCTGACAAAATTCACGTCAAGGTGCAATCAGTGGACCCAAGTGTCACCTCACTAACGGGAAACCGGGTAGGGCACCCCGTACCCTCCAGTCCTATGTAAATCAGCAGCTCCAACCTCTCCTTTATACAAAGCCTGTCCCCAGGACGTCTAAAAATAGACCAGCTGGAAGTCTCTCTCATTTCCCCACAGATAACCAAGTGGAGATGCGATAGTGTAGAGTCTGAAGGTGAGCAGATGGAGAAAAGGAGCAAAGTGTCAAAACCACAATCTGATTGATGAAGTTAAGTCTTAGAAAGTGGTAACCAGGCTCCCTAGCTCGTGGGATTTAGAGAAGATAAAAAAAGACACTTCTAACAAGGGTTAAACATAAGAAAGGGTCACCAAGAAAGGGGAAGAATTGCCCTTTTTGTTTTTTTAATAAGAGGATATACGCTCTGCTGTGTCAATCAGAAGCAGAACTCATTGCTGGAACAATTATGCAAAGATGAATATTAAAAGATTTATCACAGGGACAGCTGGGTGGCTCAATGGTTGAGCACACACCTTTGGCTCAGGTGATGATCCCTGGGTCCTGGGATCGAGCCTGTTTCTCCCTCTGCCTGTGTCTCCTCCTCTAAAATCTTAAAAAAAAAAAAAAAAAGATTTATCACATAACTGTATCTGGTGGTAAAAAAAAACAGGAAATAACACCAAAAGAGGACTGGCTAAGTTATAATTTTAAGGTTCTCAGTGCAACAGTACATAACTGTTTAAAAATAAATGGATGTACATTTGACACAGGAATTGATTTCCAACTTCTTACTGGGTGAAAAAATAAAGTAAAACTCTACTATGTAAAGTTATATATGCACGCACATCTGTATAGGCACAGGGAATGTCTTGAATATTCACTTAAGTTTTAAACAGTGGTTATCTCTAGAAGGATTTCTTGCAATTGCTATTTAAAACCACAATGACTAATCTCTAGGTAATGATTTCTTTCAAATATAGAATTAAGCCAATGATATAGATAATAATATACTTGCATTCAGTTTTAGATTTTAGGTCTCAGAAGAGTGGTATTTACACAGTAAATGTAGTACACAGTACAAATGGGACTATTTACAACTCTCCTGACACATGAAATTTGTAATCAATGACTCTATTATCTTATACATTGAGTTTCTTTCTTTCTTTTTTGAGGGAGGAAGAGAGAGATTGAGAGAGACAAAGAGGGAGGAAAGGGCAGAGAGAGAACCCCAAGCAGGCTCCACACTCAGCACAGGACCCCACACAGGGACCCACACAGGGCTAAATCTCGTGACCCTGAGGTCATGACCAGAGCTGAAACAAAGAGCCGGACTCCTAACCAACTGAGCCACCCAGGTGCCCCTAGTTTCTTTGTTTCTATTTTTCTGGTTCCTGACTCTTTTATATAACTTCAGAGTTAATGCTCACCCTCTGGCTCTTCCCACCACATCCTTCTTCTCAAGCCAGTTCTGGCCTTCTTTGTACAAGCCTCTGTCGTCAACTTCATTATTGTCTCCTTTAGTCAGAAATTTGATGTCTCCATTATCTCTAGAAAGCAAAATAATGTCCTTTAAAAAATGATTTTCTGCACAGCATCATTAGAAAACAATTAGTTTACCCAGCATGTCACGTCAGATACGTGCATTTAGACGAGCATTCAACAAGGACTTGATCTTTCTTGGTAGATAACCATCCAAACTAACACACTAGTCTAACCCACTGGTGATTTTGCAGACTCAAATTCTAAAATGCTCAAGTTACCCTGACAACCAAAAAGCATGGCAAAGAGTGAGGGCACCAGCAAGGCAATGATTAGCTTCCAGCAACTGTTTTCTCTCTCTTAGTCCTCAAAGACCAACTTGTGAACACGGATTATACTCTCCTTCACTCTAGACATGAACTTGGTCCCAGATCACACAGATTTGAGCACAAGCTAATTTAAATGCAGATGGGCCCTTTCCCCTCCTCAAACTTACTTTTCCTTGCCAAATGTAGAATGTTAATGCATTATTTCCTTCAGCACTGAGCAAAGTGGTATAAAATCTGGTTTGCAAAGAAACAGGAATCACAAATGGCATAAAACCAGTGTTAAAGAGACACATGGGATTAATTTTAAACATTCTAAGCCGGTGCTTGCATAGCCTTGACACTAGAAACACAACATTATAGCATTATGGAGCTATAAAGAGGGTCTTCTTTCAATAAGACAAATGAAAAAAATGCACTATTGTAATTAGATAAAATATTAAAAGCCCACAAAGATTTGAAAGCACGCCAATAGGAGTAGGCTGATTTGCAGCTGCGGTTATAAAGGAAACCAAGAAGCTAAAACCCCAACCAGTCACTCCTGCAACTCATGCAAATTACAGAAAATCACTATTTCTTCAACTTTGAATAATTTCTCATCTGTAGAATTTTTAAGTCAGCTGTCACATTATGATTATGCCTATTTCTTTATCAGTAAGTCAACAAGTGGACATCACATCCCATGGTGCAGTACCACAAGCTGGACAGAAACTGAAACAGGGTCATTCCAATGTTTACACCAAAAAAAAAAATGTGACGATTGTAAGTATCCACTTCTTTGAGGAACACCTGAAAGTAGGGACTGGAATGGGAACCTGATACTGGAAAGGTACAAATAGATACAGTACACACATGCACACACATGGTGAGAAATGAGAAGTGCTTTGTTATTTTATTTTTATTTTTTAAAGATTTTATTTATTCATGAGAGATACAGTGAAAGAGAGAGGCAGAGACACAGGCAGAGGGAGAAGCAGGCTCCATGCAGGAAGCCCGACGTAGGACTCGATCCCGGGTCTCCAGGATCGTGCCCTGGGCTGAAGGTGGCACTAAACCGCTGAGCCACCGGGGCTGCCCTATTTTAAAAATACAAATATACACACATCTCAGTTTAATTCCATAAGTCAAGCACGTAAAAAGCTGTGAGAGGTAAATGAATAACCGAGTGTAGAGCATGTACCATTTTCATTAACCGTGTGACTGTGAACTTAATACATTTGAGACAGAAGTAATTGGTTCTAGTTCCCAAGAAGTGTCTTCAGAAGCTACCACTGGCATTTAAAGGAAAGGAAGACCATCTCTGGTGGGGGATAGGTGGGTGGCTACTGAAATTGAATCACTACATTCCACACCTGAAACTAATATTATGCTGTATGGTAACTAGACGGAATTTAAATAAAAACTTGAGAAAAAAAAAAAAAGGTTGGATAATAATCAGTGCTAATGGAATGAATGAATCAATAAAACTGGCTACCAAAATTTATAAAAAGAAGTAAAGCCACCTTACTTTTCATGAACTTTGATCACTCTGTGAACTATTGGAATGTCTCGTCCTTCGACTTTAAAGACCACAATTTCGCCAGCTCTAATAGGGTCTTCCCGGAAGTTTGTCAGGAACAAAAGGTCGCCCCTGTGAAAGGCAGGCTCCATACTGCCACTGGGAAGAAACACAAAATCACATCCAATTAGCCTGGGTTCACAGGGGAACTTTACAACTCATGAAGAATAATAAACATATCAGTGAAAATCTCAACTGCCATCAATCGTCAGGTAGGTCAGGGAGCTATCAGATAAGCAACAGTGGTTCCCTTCTGACTGCTCATGATGATGACATTAAGTGAGAAAGGAAATGATTTCTTTTTAGATTAAGTATGAAAAGGATAGTAGCAGGCCCTTCTATACCTTCTATTAGGTAGAACGAGAACTAAGTATAATGTGAACTCTTTAAAGTAAAAGCTGCCAATTTTTAGCCTCAAAAAAAGGTCCTACATCTACAAATACATTACTGTCTTCATTCAGAAATGCAGACTCTGAAAGCTGGTTGATACTCTAAGACAATTCTTGTGTTTCATGGCTCGTAACCAGCACCTAGGATGTGGGCATTCCCACTTAAAGAAGAAAAGCAAACAAATGAATGCTTTAGAGAGTGATCTATCCGAAAACCAAGCTGAGGATTAGGACAAAATTTGACTCCAAGTCTTTGGACTACCGCAGCATCATCCTTTAAACCATATTTTACAGAAAGCCCAATTTTAACAATTGTTGACTGCTTCTGATTTGGAGGTCAATAAATAATCCTACGTGGTACTGGTTTAATAAACCCAAGCCAAAAACCTTCAGTGGATTCAAAGTAAATTGTAATCTAGTAGAAGTTGAAATTATCAAATCAGAATGCATTTTCCATATGCTCATGCTTTGTCTTAATGCATGACAAAACAAATAAGACCAAAGAAGACTGCAATATAGGGGCCATACGATCAAAAAACGGGCGAGTTCGTTGAGGGCAGGATGTGGGGAGGAAGAACCAGACTGGTGAAATGCAGTGCTTCAAAGGAAAATGTGGGTTTCTCACGGGAGCAGCTCAAGAATTTGGCCTTCGTGTCCCTCTTGGCTGGGAACACCGTAAACTCATCGGCACATGCAGACCAGCAAGGAGAATCACTGGCCGGTTGCTAAGTACCTGCTGATGTGTTTATTAAAAGTGAAACCAGTGACACTGGGTATTATAATAGATCTAGCATTCAAAATTAGAAAATCTGAATAAGAAACATAGAGAAGGCTAGAAATATAAATGACTACGAGGGAAAGGAAGAGCAAACAATTAAGAACTATGGCCAGAAAAACCTCCTGGGCAAGTCTCAGAGGCAGAAGAGTAGTTTATCATTGAGTCACTAGTGTGGGGCGCCTGGGAGGCTCAGTGGTTGAGCGTCTGCCTTTGGCTCAGGTCTTGATCCCAGGGTCCTGGGATTGAGTCCTACATCGGGCTCCCCAAAGGGAGCCTGCTTCTCCCTCTGCCTATGTCTCTGTCTCTTTGTCTGTGTCTCTCATGAATAAATAATTTTTTTTCAAAAAAGGGTCACTATTGTGTCCCATGAGGAGAGCACTTCTTTAAATTTTTCACTACTATCAACTCACACTTGCTTTCCTCATGGGCCAGGGGTTCCCCAAAGGTCAGTGTTCCCCAAGGCCACGCATCTCTCATGATGTCAACAGTTTATGCTGACAAGCCAAACTGCTTTAGAACTATAAAGGATCTTTGAAAAAAAAAAAAAAGAAGAAGTCCTACAGACTGGAATGTTACAACGATTCTGTGTACAAGTGTGTTGGTGTGATTTAAGGAAAATCAGAATGTCTGGGGTCTAGTTTTGGCTCTGCCAAAAGTAACTGTAAGACATGTAAGTGGCTTGGCCTTCGTGGGCCTCAGGTTCTTTATCTGTTAGTGAGAGGGCCCACCTAAATTATAGGTCTTAATCTTTTTTTTTTTAAGATTTTATTTATTTATTTATTTATTTATTTATTTATTTATTTGAGAGAAAGAGAGAGCACAAGCAGTGTGAGGGACAGAGGGGGAGGAAGAAGCAAATTCCCCGCTGAGCAGGGAGCCCAGTGCAGGGCTCCATCCCAAGACCCTGAGATCATGACCTGAGCTGAAGGCAGATGCTTAACCAACTGAGCCACTCAGGTACCCCAGAAATTTTCAAATTTCTAATGAAACAAAAAAAGAAGCCTTAAAATCCTTCCTTCGAATGAAATCTATCAGAATGCATATCCATATATAATACATAAAAATGGAGCTGTTATAACTGAAACAAGGCTGAGGTGTCTAGAATCCACACACTTGATCCCCTTCTCCCTCCTAACCTAGCCACTGGACCCCAGGGCATTCCTAAAGCAGTGTGAACAGCAGTGAATAAGAAACCCATATGCTATCCTAAGGCTCCTAAATTTATGAAAGCAGTGTCCCTCTAGAATAGGCCCCTTGGCCAGCCACACAAGGGCAACCTGGTGAAGTCAGGCCAAGGCTGAAGCCCCATGATGTGATAGCAGGGCCCAGTGGAGGGAAAGGGTGCTGGTTTGTGAGCCACCGACCCTGCATGCTGGCCTTGGCCACAGTCACTGCTAAAGCCTAACGCTCCCCCCCCATAAAACACATGGGGTCCATTCCCACCCACCATAAGGCTGGTCTAGGACATACTGGACAGAGATCAGCTTGAGGCACCAAAGGGCTCCCAGACATGGTGCTTGATTTTCAAATTGATTACATTTCCTGCCTTGTATGACTTGACGGCTATGTGAAGTCAATTAAAGTATTAACTTTTCAAAAATTAACAGCCTGTGCTTTATAATAATAATAGCCTCAAGAAGAGAATAGCCACCAACAGCAGTGTTGCAGAAGCAGCTTGAAAAACTACAGCACACTCTGCTAAGCATAAGGGAGAAACACTCTCCTGTGTCTGGTACAAAGAAAACCAAGTAACAGTTTTTGTTTTTGTTTTGTTTTGTTTTTTAAAAGATTTCATTGGGCAGCCCACATGGCTCAGTGGTTTAGCACTGCCTTCAGCCCAGGGCCTGATCCTGGAGTCCCGGGATCAAGTCCCACGTCAGTCTCCCTGCATGGAGCCTGCTTCTCCCTCTGCCTGTGCCTCTCTCTCTCTCTCTCTCTCTCTCTCTCTCTCTCATGAATGGATAAATAAAATCTTTTTTTTTTAATTTATTTATTCATGAGAACATAGAGAGAGAGGCAGAGACATAGGCAGAGGGAGAAGCAGGCTCCATGCTGGGAGCCCAAGGAGGGACTCGATTCCGGGACTCCAGGATCACGCCCTGGGCTGAAGGCAGAGCTAAACCACTGAGTCACCTGGGCTGCCCCCAAGTAACAGTTTTAAATTACTTATGTTTAAAGATCAACTTGTACACAAGTAATCACATAGGACTGTTATTTTAGGTGGATTAAAGCATTAAAATACAAAAGCAAATATATTGCCCTGGAGCATTAGCATCAACGTGATAAAAGCTCTAAAATGTGTGTTGAAAAAGATAAGATTTTTCAACAAAGGCCAGAAAGAAAGAAAAAATGGTATCAACAAAGACAATTCTAATGCTCTATCCAATGAAAATACTGAGTCTTGGTTGTTACGCAGGCTTTCAATGAGGCCAACACTGCTCCTCTGTGTTGGAGCAGCAGCGTGACAGCCTGGGGACCTACCTGAGCACCACCACGATTGGGCTCTCGCTGCCGGTGAGGACGATCAAGCCTTTCCAGATCATAAGCGCAGAAGACACGATCATGGCAAAGTTTAAAACCTGGTAATAGAGCTGGAACGAAAAAGGCCAGACCCAAAGTGAAAACCAGTAGAAGAATATTCACTAACCCTAAGCTGGAGATAAGCTTGTCTAAAAAAAGAAAAAAAGTAAAGTTGTGATTTTAGGACATTAAACTAATTCACACACTACAAACTCAGGTAGTATTTCAACTTTTGCCGATGGAATGCGCCTTCCATATACTGTCTCTCTTTCAGTAAGCAATGAGAGAAAAACCCCAGAGCAATCCATGGGACCTACCCGAAGAGACTGTACTTACCTCTCTGGGATTTCCCAGAACCCTCAACCCTGAAGAGCCCTGTTATTCAAGTTCTACCCTGAGGACCTCCCGCTCCAGTGTAGGGAGCACACATCTGACCTGAGAGCCTGGGGTGGGCAGTATGGTTTAGAACTGCTCCTTAGCCCCCTGGCCAAAGAGGCCCCAAATGAGGCTTCCGAGCCCTATAGTTCTTAGCAATGAGGCTGTTGTACATCTGAAATTACAGTTCAGGGATCCCTGGGTGGCGCAGCAGTTTGGCGCCTGCCTTTGGCCCAGGACGCGATCCTGGAGACCGGGAATCGAATCCCACGTCGGGCTCCCGGTGCATGGAGCCTGCTTCTCTCTCTGCCTCTCTCTCTCTGTGTGTGACTATCATAAATTAAAAAAAAAAAAAAATGAAATTACAGTTCAGAGTGAACAAAAACTGTAAACACCTGGATGTTTAAGTTTTCAATAAATGTCTTTAAAAAGTAAACAAAGTCTGATTAAGAACATAGGCAAAGGGCAGCCCAGGTGGCTCAGCAGTTTACCGCCACCTTCAGCTCAGGGCCTGATCCTGGAGACCAGGGATCGAGTCCCACGTCAGGTTCCCTGCATGGAGCCTGCTTCTCTCTCTGCCTCTCTCTCCCTGTGTCTCTCATGAATAAATAAGTAAAATCTTGAAAGAAAAGAAAGAAAAGAAAGAAAAGAAAAGAAAAGAAAAGAAAAGAAAAGAAACGAAACGAAACATAGGCAGAAAGCCACACAAAATAGTATCTAGTTCTCAGCTGACCTCACCCCACCTCACACCAGAGTTAAGATTCGCAGAGCTTGTCCTGCTGACACACCCAACCCCTGGTGACTACATGGGGAGAGAGCAACACCTGCCCACCCTGTCAGGCTTCGCTGGATTGTCGGGCCAGATGTCTACCATTTTCCAAGGGGCTTTAGGGATGAAAGTCACTGTGCCTACTACTACTTGGAATGTAAGGTCCCTGGCCTCCTCCCTTAGTGTCTTCCAGGAGAGCTCTTCACTCTAGTACCTGCCTCAACCTTCCTCCTCACAACCTCTGTTCTAGGTGATCCGAAGAGCCACGTGGACATCCTGTCCAGCGCTCTGGTGTCTTAATTCCTAGATATCCTCCTCTCCAAAGTCCTTCTCCCTCCACCCGAACCAACCACTCTCAAACATACCTGGAATTGAAACTGCCCAACCCCCACATCTCTAATTCAATGATTCCCCTCTACCTGTCCAGGTACACCTGTTCTTCGCCATATGTGCTCACCTAATGCCAGGGCTCTTGTCCTACCCACTCCTCCCATTCATTCTATACATTGTACCTTCTAAACATTTCTGCAATCTGTCCTATTCTCTCCCCACTGGCACCATTCTCACCCAAGTCACCAACAGAACCCATTGGGCAACTGCAAGAGCCTGCTAACCAGTCTCCTGATGTCCGTATACATCTCTTCCAACGCATTCTCCACGTTACACTCTTACACTCGTTTGCAAATGCACCTCTAGCCACCTGATCATCTCTATGCCCTGCTTCCACTGCCCTTCGACTGCATCCCCTCAGTTGCATCCCACTACTCCGAGGGTGAATATGGTCTCTAAGGCTCTGTCTGGTCCACCCCCTACTCCCTAGCTTCAGCAGGTGAAGCTCACTGCACTCCAGGTCCACTCGTATCTGTCAATGCTTCAGAGAGCATGTGCTCCTATCCCCTCCAGGAGCTGCGCTTGGCTCGTTCCTCTGCCCTGAGCCTCTCTCCCTAGACTCCTTAGCATACTAACACTCATCTTAAATCCTGCTTTTAACATGAGTTCCCCAGGGAATCCCTCCCTGACCCACTAGACTAAGCGTCAGCAAACTTCTTCTGTAAAGGGCCAGATAATACGTATTTTACAAGCCACATATAGTCTCCGTTGAAATCACTCAACATTGCTAGTGCAGCGAGAAAGCAACTAAAGATAATATAGAAAAGAATGAATATGGCTGTTTCACTAAAACTTTACGAAAATAGATGGTGGGGGGCACCAGAGTGGCTTGCTCAGTTAAGCACCTGACTCTTGATTTCGGCTCAGGTCACGATCTCCGACGAGAATGAGTCCCACATTGGGTTCAAAGCTGGGCATGGAACTTGCTTAAGACTCTCCCTCCCTTCTGCTCCTCCACTTAACCCCACTCCACCAGCCCCCTCTGTCTCTAACAAACACAGATGGAGGGCTGGAGTTTGCTACTTTCTGCTGTAGAGCAGCCCACGGCCTCTTGTTACACATTCTCACAGCACCCTGTACTTCTTTATACCACCCATCACTATCATAATTATACGTATCATTTTTAATGTATCTTTTACCTTAGACTGTAAGTTCCACAAAGGCAAAGGCCATTTTGGCCTTGTTCACAGCTGTACCTCCAATGTCCAACACAAGTCTGACAAAAAGTAAGTTCTCAATTTGTTGAATAAATCGTGAGAAAATAAACATCTTTAATACATGGTGAGCACAAATAAACTAATAGTAAGAAAAACACTAAAATCCCAACAACGACAACAAAAGAGGTAAAAGCTTAAAACTATTAATTTTCCAAAGAAGAAATACAAGCAGTGAATAAACAGAGTGTTCAAACCAAATCCTGCCTCCCTCTCTCCCCTCTCCTTTTTTATGACTAGCAAATTTCAAGTTTGGGGTATTTTTTTTTTTAATGCTAATACTCAGCGCTGGTCCAGGGTACATTGTGGTGAGAAGGCAAGTGGACACAGTCATTCTGAGAGCAATCTGGCACTAGTATCACAAGGTTACTTTCTGCCCAGTAATCCTACTTTAGCAATTCAGTCTACAATAAAGGCAGATAGGGAATTAGGGCCCAAAGATATGCCTCACGGTCCTATTTCTAGTAATGGAGAAAAGGAAATAAGGGAGCAACAACAGAGAAATGATTGAGTAAAATAATGGCAAATCACTGCACTATTTAAAACAAAAGTGTAGGCTGCAGCAGAATCTCTGCAAACTGCAGAACAGTCTGTAAAACAAACACAAGGAATTGCCCTCAAAGGCGAACAGAGGCCATCTCGGGAGGGTGGAAATACGAATAACCGAATCTTCTATAAACTATTCCCTACTCTTTAAAATTTCTGTCATGAGCATGGAATAATTCCAAAGTCTGGGGAAAGTAAATGTTTAAAGGAATTTGACAGAATGTTATATGGCCATTAAGATAATTACTTTGAAGAGGGTGACAAAACTGGAACACATGGTCTGACGTGGCAGTAAGGTAGGAAAAGCAGAGCTCAGATTGCTCCTACTACATGTCTGTGAAATTATGTAATTCCAATTCCAGGTAGTTTTGGAGGAAACAACTGAAAATACAGACGTAAAAATGAATTAAAACAACCGTGAAAATATTCTGATGTAGTAATTGAGAAGAAAAAGTTAAACATAATTCAAAATTAAGTTATACACCATTTAAAAAAAAAACAAAAACTCTTTGCTGTGTCAACAGCAAATTATGAAACTATCACTAAATCCCTAAATCCCCGGAAGAGCAAAGAAGGAAACTGGAATGCCAAGCAGATCACTGTTAAAAGTGCTGGACTGTAACACGTTAAACTGTTGCTTCCAAATTAAAATCCGCTTTGCAAGGCGCATCAGCATAAAGCAGAAGTTGTTCACTGTAGCTCACTTCCGAAAACTTCTCCAGCTGCTCTGCCCGACTTGAAGGCCTTGATAAGCAAATGTTGCTTCATCATGAATTACAGATCTGACTGGGAAAGCCCCAAACCACATTTTATTTTTTTTGATTTTTTTTTCCAAACCACATTTTTAAACAGAAAGTGTCATTTTTAGACAGGTTTTCAAACCATCGGACTCCACCCTGATAAAAACAGAGTATAAAACCTTGCCATTTATGCAACAAAGACCTAGTACGGACAATATTGTTTCCAGCATGACTTTCTATGCTTGAAAAATTCATCAAGGGGAAGTAAGATCAATTCCTAAAAAAAAAAAAAAAAAAAAAAAAAAAAAAGTTCCTCTGAGCAAGACATCTATTTGCTAAAGAAATGACCTATTATACAAAAACCTAACAGTCGAGCTAACTGCAAAACCGCAGATCAACTGCAACACCCTACCTTTACAGAACCTACTAATCCAAGTCTAGTATTAAACACCTAGAATCTAGAAACACAATTTTGGTTGAACTATTATAGACAAACTGACTGGAGTGTAAAAAAAAAAAAAATACACTGCCACATTTCACTGGTGCCTTTTGTTTGTTCATCTTCACCTACCAACTTTCTACACTCCACCATTCACAGCCCCAGCAAAGTTCAGAAGGAAACCCACACTCGGGTCTTTGTCAACCAAAGCTGAAACAGCCAATTTCTGAGAGTTTCAAGCAAACATTTCAGACCAGATATTCTGGCTGACAAAGCAGCAGAAACGCCAGTAGCTGCATTTCTTCCTTCCTCTCTTCCTCGCTGCAGAAACAAAGAGTCCTTGTTTTGCGTGTGCTCTCGTGCTTTACTTCATAGCAAGCCGGGACAGCAGAGAAAGGAGGTCCCACTTCCAAGATTGGTGGAGCATGCATGCCTGACAGGGTGTCAGAGGATGCTATTTTGGAGGGAAAAAGAAAAAGAGACAACAGGACAACGCTTAGAAGAAAAAAAAAAAGGAGGCAGCAGAATCGAGCTTCTGCATTTTAATTAGAAAACTAGCAAAACATAGACAATGCAACAGCTACTGAAGGCCTTATCACTGAGAGTGGGAATACACAGATCTTCCAAACTAGTTTAGGAATTGATATATTCACCAGAAGGCCTTCCCTGATAGTCTGCAATTACAACCACCAATAATCAGTACCCATTTTAGAGACATTTAAAAAACCCGGCCAATTAAGCCTAGGGTTTTAAATAAAAGCTCTATTTTCTGGAGGATTTTCTTGGGAGCAGTATCAGTGCTCAGGGAATTTGCTGTCGGTTCTTCGAGCTGGTAATAATCACTGCCACAACTCCTCTTAATCACAGAAGCTCCTGAGAGTTTCTCATCCGCTACGCGTACCTGGAAACCACCAGATCCTAAACCACAGCTTAGACGTGGAGGCTTGAAATCCAAGTCACCAGACTCTCCCACACGACAGCACGAAGATGAAATCCCATTTGGAAAACCGAACCCAACCAAACCCCGATGTCTACAGGAATAAGTAGCGCTATGCCATGGGCATCATCCCACCCCACGGTGTCGTGGCAACCATGTCGGTATGAGTCAAAATCATGAGAATCGATACCACTTCCTTTTTAAGTGCTTTTCTTTGTTTTGGAGGGAGAAGCAGAGGAAGAGGGAGAGCAAGAATCTCAGGCAGGCTCCACGTCCAGCGGGGATCCCTGTGCGGGGCTCCATCTGGGGGCTCCACCCTGAGCCGACACTCAACCCACTGAGCCATCCGGAGCCCCTACAGCATTTTCAAAGACAATCAAAATCACTAATAGGATGCTTCCATTCTTCTTAGCGTGATTTACTCTTTGCATCAATAAAAGAAAAGTATTAGGACCCATTAGGATCTACTGTGCCCTCCAGGCCCCCTAAATTCTCTTTCTAGAAGCTTAAGCAACCGCATTTTTCCTGGCTGAGAGGCCTTCCTTTCCAGTCCCTACTCGCTCCTCCCTTGCACCGAAGAAAGTCCGCGAGGCTGGCCAAGGAGCCCACCGAGGGCAGCGCGGGGCGGAGTCTCCCTCTGAGGTCACAGAAGCGCAAGAAATCAACCCCAGGTGCGCACACCTGCGCGCTCGCCGCTTCCTAGGGTCAAGGTGCAGCCCGAAGCCAGAACCCAAGGGGTCCCCTCTGGAACACCGAATCCGTCTACACCGTCCAGGGCACGGAGTCCGTTCTGCTCGCCGGCGCTCCGGCCGCGCATCGGCGGGGGGGCAGGCCTCGGGAGCCCCGGGAGCTCGCCTGCCTCCTGCGGGGCCGCCCGCAGCCTCGCGTGCACGGACAGCGGCCACTCACGGCCGAGGGCTCCCCCCCCGCCCGGCCTCGCTCGCTCCAGCACACCTGACGTCGGGGCCTGGATCCCGGTCCCCGCCCCTCCCGCGCTCCAGCCAGCGCACACACCTGCCCACAGGTGGGCGTGCGTGCATTTGAGGCCCGGGCCTCGGACAGCGCGGCGGGGAGCCTGCGGGCGCCGGTGTCCAGGCGCGGTCCTTGCGGGAGCCCCGACTCCCCGCGGGCACGCCGGGGTCGCGCCCCCCCACCCCCCGCCCCGGAGCGCGCGGGCCTCCCTCACCTGCCGCTTGTTCATCTTCCTCAGGTCCCCGAAGATGTCCAAGCCGGACGCCGGCAGGTGCGTCCCCACGGCGCCCGCGCGCACCATGGCGGGCTCTCCAGGGGCCCAGGCGGCCCGTCGCCTCCCGGGTGTCACCGGCAGCCGCGGAGCCCCGGCCCGGCCCCCGGCTTTCAGCCCCGTGTCCTTGCTGGTCACGTGGCCGGCACCTCGCGCGGGCGTCTGGGAATGGTAGTCCTCCGCGGGCTCGGCCACGCCGGTCGACCTGGAAGGAACTGAGCGGAAGGAAACTACCACTCCCAGAATGCCGCGGGGCGAGAGGCTCGTCCAGTGAAGACCCAGGGCTCCTAGGACGGGCAGCGACGGGACTCGGGAGTCTCGGCCGACCCTTCCGAGCGAACCTGGGGGAGAGCGTCACCGCGCATATCGCAGGGGCAACTCGGGGAAGTGACTGTTCAAGAGGAAACGAATTCCTCAGGACTCTGGTCAGGCGCCAAGAGGGCACCTAAAGCTCCGCGGCTCTCACCCCGCCGTGTATCGCGGCCATTGGACGACTGCGGCGAGAGGGGGCGGGGCCTCTGCCCGGGCCGCCGGCGGCGCCGAATCGGGGAGGAGCCGAGCGAGCGGGTGGGCGGGGCTTGGGAGAGGAGGGAGATTTGAACCCCGCAGCTCCAGGCCCTGCAACAAGTCACAGGGTTTGGATGCAAGAGAGCATCTTTGCATCCTCTTGACCAGAGTTGTGTCGCAATAAACATTACTTGAGTGAATAAGTCACCACCTCATTTTATACCCGAGAAAACAGGCCCAGAAAGTCCAAAGCTCCTGGCCAAGGTTAAGGGTCAGAGTCTGAAATAGAACACAGATTTCACAATTGGCAAATCCTGGATTACTGCAGTCTTGATCCTAGATTAGCTAGACCATTCATTCCATTCATTTATTCACAAATTTCTTTGAAGCATCCACTAAGCACCTGGCCCTTTTCTAGGCACTTGAGAAGCATCAGTGAACAAAACAAGATCCCTGCCCTCGTGAGGCTTACATTCTAACAGGAGTAGATATAATAAAGGAGTAAATGTTACAGCACCTAGAGGGTAGTGGTGCTATGGAAAAAAGTGGTGCTATGGAAAGGGGGTAAGAGGAATGAGGTGCTCTGGGGGAAGGGAGCAGGTTGCAATTTTTTTTTTTTTGAGAGGTTGCAATTTTAACAATCCCAGGGGCACCTGGGTGGCTCAGACAGTTGAGCGTTAGACTCTTGATTTTGGCTCAGGTCATAATCTTATAATCTCATAATCTCAGGGTTCTGAGATCCAGCCTCAGAGTAGGGCTCTGCACTCAGTGTGGAGCTGCTTGAGATTCTCACTCTCCCTCTTCGTCTGCCCCTCCCCCTGCTCTCTCTCAATAAATAAATAAAATTCTTAATAAAAAATAAATAATAAATAAAAATCAATAAATAAAATATCCCAGAAACTAATTCACTATAAAGCTGATGGAAGGTAAACACTGGGACCCTTCACGTGCAAAGGCCCCTTCCAGGGACCTGGAGAAAAACATGGCCATACAGTTTTGTAAAATTTTCAAGAGCAAGATATTAGAATTGCTATTGGTTGAGTCTTGTTTCTTTGCATTCCAGCCTCCCCTCCATCATACTTCATGTAGGAGGAACAAGTTGCATTTTGAAGATCCACCTGAGAAGAAATTGAGTTGAAGATGCATTTAGTTTGGGTTTAATGGATATATTTATGTGGTTCATGGTCGTTCCCTGACAGCCTGGTGTAGGAATCGTCTTAACACTAGGCTCTTAAAAACAGGGAAAGAAAGAAAAAACAAAACAAAACAGGGAAAGAGACCCTTTGAAGAAGGAGACAACACAGAAGCTGTGACACCCACCCAGTCATACTTCTAACCTACCCCTGTCTAAGGGCAAGGTCCACACTCAACATCCACATGTTCCCTCCATGCAATGTGGTTGTGACAGGTATGATCTTGGAGAATCAACTTGAGAATCAACTCTTGATGCTACTGGGGCCCCAGTCTTGTCTGCTTATCTTATTCTTACAAAGGAAGTCATTAAAGTCAACTGAGGTCTCAAAATACCACCAAGCAACCCGAAAGTTTCCAACCCCACCCTTTGACTGGGGCTCAGCCTCAGTCTTTTTCTGTCTGTTCTCTCTCCTCTTTCAACATCTCCAGCAGTGCTGAGATACCAAATACAGAATCTTAGCTCCTGGTGGCTGATTTCCTCCAAAGACCTAGGAAAAGGAGCAAAATATAATTACTGTAAATCCTGCTGCCAGTATCTGGGGAGATCTAGTTTAGTGCCAGAAATCAACCATTCCTCTGCCTAGGTGCTGAATCTGGAGTTGTCTTTGATAAATTACATATCTTAAACCAAAACATAGCATTGCTTTATTTATCCTTTCCCACGGAGAAATAATCATGCTAATTTTCTGATTGAAGTCCCTCGAACACAGGCTGATGCCACAGACCCTCTTCACGTGCCAGAATCAGAAATGAAACTTTAAGAAATCTCTTATACCGCAGTCGGTTCACTCCCTTATTGATTTGTCTGCTCCACTGAGCACTAGGAATCCAGAGGTGGGAATAAGACACAGTTCTTAAATCCAGTTGAAGCTGTAAATGTGCGGGCATGATTATCATATGGTGTAACAGGTGAACGGGGCAGGGCATAACGAAAAGCGTGCACTCTAGTTTAGACCCCTCTTAGCACATCTGGGTATGCCTTGTGCGTGGAGTGAGGAATTGCTACAGAGGGAGCACCAGCTAACATTTTTTTCCATAGTTCCTTTGCATCACATAAATACTTCTTTATCCTTACTCTCAGTTGCAGAAACTGTATTTTACAGAAACTGGAAGAGAAGTCTCAGAGATGATAAGCAGCTTGCCCAATGTCACAGAGCTAAGAAAAGACAGAGCCAGAACTTGAATCCAGGTCTGCCAAATCCAAACTTACTCTCTCGTTCCCTACTCCACACCATCTCTCCTCTATTCTCTTCTGCCCATGGAAGCTCCTGGGACTGCATGAGCAGACACAGTTCCAGAGGGGAACTTCAATTTCCAGTTTCTGAGTTCAACCTACTGCCTACAGACTGATGGTACTAGAAACCATCATCATGAACACAGCAGAATCTCGGGGACTCTGGTCTACCGAGCTGGATGGAGACAGCTAGGACTTGTTTTTAAATGGAGCACAAATGGGAAGACATCTGATGGATGACTTGGAATTCGGTCAGTCCCAGCGGGAGCATCAGAGCTCGTCTGGCTGGGCACGAATGAGTGTCCTCGTGTCAGATGTGAATCAGCAGCCCCTGGGTAACGGTGCCAGACACCGACATTCTGAGTCACTCTGTGCCTTTGCCATCTTCTGCATCTGTGGAAGGATACGCCTCAGAAGAGCTGCGCTGTTCCTCAGGGATGTCATCATCAGAGCGTGGAAATCTGGCTGCCTCTCCCTCCTCCACAATCCCTCTCCCACCTGCTGCCTAAGTGCTCTTGTCAAAATAAGCCATTTCTCCAGCTCCCACCACTTCTATGGCACCCAGCTCTTCGGATCACTTCCCTGTGCCTTACAGGTTGTTACAAGCACCCAGGAGGGATTTGATAAGTGTCAGGAATGGGAAGGGGAGGAGGGAGGGAGATGACATTCACTAACCAAAGATGCTCATCTGGATTTGTGTCCCGTGCTACTTGGCTGTCATGTGAGAGTCCAGGCTTTTATTTTTTTTATTTTTATTTATTTATTTATTTATTTATTTATTTATTTATGATAGTCACACAGAGAGAGAGAGAGGGGCAGAGACACAGGCAGAGGGAGAAGCAGGCTCCATGCACTGGGAGCCCGATGTGGGATTCGATCCCGGGTCTCCAGGATCGCGCCCTGGGCCAAAGGCAGGCGCTAAACCGCTGCGCCACCCAGGGATCCCAAGTCCAGGCTTTTCAGTTTGGCTGAAAACTTGGCTTATCAGTTTAACTCTAGTTAAAAAAAAAAAAAGTTAGGGAGACATTTTCTTACATTTGTTCCATCCATGAGTCTCCGGACTTTCTGCAAGACTCTGATAGATCCAGGAAGGTAGTGCCCCGTGGTGCTGGGCACCCCGGAACAAGATTCAGGAGATCTCTGCTGTTCTTGCTGTGCCCAGGCACAGCAGTATCACCTCGAACCACCCATCTCTCTCCCTGGGCCTCAGTTTCCTCGTCTGTAGAAACAAAAGTGTGAAGGGCACCTGGGTGGCTCAGTTGATTAAGTACTTGCCTTCAGCTTGGGTCATGATCGGGGTCCTGGGATCGAGTCCCCATATTGTGGTTGGGGGCGAGGTCTGCTTCTCCCTCTCTCTCTGCCTGCCACTCTTCCCACCTGTACGGTCTCTCTCTGTGTCAATAAATGAATAAAATGTTAAAAAAAAAAAAGAAAGAAACAAAATTGTGACTTCTCATGTTCTGTGGCAGGTATAAATTTCACAGTCATGGCCTCAGGGGAGCAAAACGTAACTATCTTTTCCTATAGCTTAGAAAAGTCATATTAGGGACGCCTGGGTGGCTCAGCAGTTGAGTGTCTGCCTTCAGCTCAGGGCTTGATCCCAGGGTCCCGGGATCAAATCCCGCATGGGCTCCCTTCATGGGGCCTGCTTCTCCCTCTGCCTGTGTCTCTGCCTCTCTCTGTGTGTGTCTCTCAGGAATGGATAAATAAAATCTTTAAAAAAGAAAAGTGATATTAAACGGGCACCTGGGTGGCTCAGTCAGTTGAGCATCTGCCTCTTGGTTTGGGCTCAGTCGTGATCTCATGGGTCAAGGGATTGAGCCCCACAACAGACTCTGCATTCACTGTTTAAAGATTCTCTCCCTCCATCCCCCCCCCCGTCTCTCTCAAATAAATGAATAAATCTGAAAGAAAAGTTATACTAAAGCCCCATCTGTCTGATTTGCAGCAACTTAATATAGTCACTTTCAGTTTTAAAACTGGGTCAATTTAAGTGTAGCTAAATACTCTCTCCTATCCTTCCCTTTACACCCCAGATGGCAACTGAGTTAGGGGAGGCAAATCCTGATGTTCAGGGGCTGTTGTTTGCATCTGCTTCTCCCTCTTGATCTGTCTCACTCCCGTTCTAGCACCGTTGAGAAGGTAGTTTGTCGTATTTGGTCCTTGGAGGTGAGCCCTCCCACTGCTGGGTCACTGGCTTCTGTCCTCA